CTCCTTGGAAGGAAGATTGGGCAATCTACTTCTGTAGAGATACTGTCTCAGAAACCCAAGGAGACGTTGCTATGAGTCAAATGGACTTGACGGCAGTGTTTTTTTTTTTTCACTTAAAATACTAAGTCTGACTTCAGTATAAATCATGCTCAATTGATGCAGAGTCAGAAAGCTTTAAAGAACTTAGGTTTAAGCCTAGTTAAGTCACCTAATTTGGAAAACATATAATAGTAGAATTTTACATTAGACAGCATTAGATCAAAAGTGCTGGAAGAAAAATCTGTTTTACTATTTTCTTTTCTAAAAGAATATCATTATGTGCTTAGCTCAGCAAAACAAGAAATGGGAGGTAGGAAATAAAAGGAAATATGATGAGACAGATGTAGAGAAGTGGTGCATATACAGAAAAGAATAGATTATAAATAAAAAACTTTCAACCCTGGATACCTACATCTCCCCCAGGATGCCATAGATTATATTACCCAGTGACAAGACCTATTGAACTTCTTTATACTCACCATGTACACTTAAGTCATATTTTCTGTCAGCCATTCCTGCTACATTCACAGCCACACAAACATAGCGGCCTGTATCAGATACGTGAACGTTCTTCAATTTAAGGATATAACCTTCATTCAGTATTTCCACTCCCTTTCCCTTGGCCAAGGGGCGGCCATCTTTCATCCAGGTCACTGCTGGTTGAGGAATACCCTGCACCTCACACTCCAAGGAAATGCTTTTCCCTCGAGTCACAATAACTTCAGTAGGGTGGATGCCATTGTTGGATATGGTTGGACGAACTTTGGGGCAAAAAAAGAACAAAAATTGGAAATGTTTGCTTTGTCTTATATAAGAAATATCATCAGCCAGAGTTAAATAAATTTTAATGCCAAAATATTAACTACAAAAGAAGAGACCCAGGAGTACAAACATAGCATTACTATATTGGTAGGTGGAATCCTTATTCTTCAATATAAATTAGCCGGTTTGTACCTAAAATAAAGTTATCAATACAGTACTGAAAGAATGTTACATTTCCTTCCTTCCTTGATTTTGAGAAGTTATATACAAACATTTGAACTTATCATTTGTGGTTCTGACTTAAAGAAGTCTCCCTAGTAATAATTTAAAATAGATAGGATTTAAAATTAGATTTTAGATTAGAAATAGCCTAGTTCATGGTAGATCCTCAGTGAATATCTGTGGAATGACTTTCACAAGTTAGAAAGATATGGACACATCCTTGAAGGAATTTCAATCAGAGGAAATACATTCTTCTCTCTTTACCATAAAAAAAGGAGAAAGTATTCCTATTGGGCACATATCTACTATGCAACATATTACTTGATGTTTTTTGTATTGTTCCTCTTTGATGACATCCCATTACTCTTAGTAGAAAGACTAAAACACTGGAACGGTCTATCAGTTCTTAGATGGGTTGGCCCTGCCTATCTCTCAGATATCACGAAGTTCCACTCCTTAATGATACCTTCCAGCTCTTGCCAAAAGACAGTCTGAAATTCCTCTCCAGCTCCATATATCCTTGCCTACTCTATCATATCTTTCAAATTTTAGCTCAAGAGCTATTCCTTCAGAGAAGCTGTCCCTGAGCCAGCAAACCAGGCACATTTTTTGGTTATGACTTTCATAGGACTGTATTACTTTAATTTAAGCAAATCTCTCAGTTTGTAATTACATTTTGTTTAGTGGTTAGCTGTTTAATCTCTCGCCTCTCCCTCTATGCCAGCATTGTACAACAGAAATTTAATGTAAGCCACAAATGTAATTTTCAACTTTAGATTTTTTTTTTAAAAAAAGCACATTAAAAAAGTAATGGAAACAGATGAAATTAATTTAGTAATATGTTTTATTTAACCTGATACATCAAAAATGTACCATTTCAAAATGTAATAAATTTTAAACTATTAATGACATATTTACTTTTTTTTTAATAGCCTTTGCAATCCAGTGTGTATTTCACACTGGCAGCACATCTCAATTTGGACTAGCCACATTTCAAGTGCTCAATAGCAGCTACTGTATTGGACAGTGT